AATAGTGAAAGAGCGATGGATAGGGGAGAATATAAGGGAATTAGTTACACCTTACAAATTCGACTGGTCTCTTGCAGTGGGGTTTCGCGGCTCCACGTGTAAATTTTTACCTTACCAGAATAACCATAATCCTGGTTTGAGCACGTGCAATGCGAATGGTGTCCCCTCTTTTAGCGCGTGCAGATAAGGTTGGGTTGGATATTCAATAAAGAGTGGCTTTCATCGAAGACCAAGCCGTTTCAGCTCATCGATAAAACAAGAAAGAGTGTTTCCCGGATTTTGAAAGTTTAACCGAGATATACGGAGGTAAATATGGGGCAAGATTTGTAGTACTCTGATACATAACAGAAATGTACGTTTCAGTACCCTCCTTTCGTCCTTTAAGTTACTGCCACGTAAAACACCATTTCCATGTTCTTATTTTATTGTATATTTTTTATATAGTATTTTGGGCAGGGTCCAGTGCCGACATGGATGCGCATGCTCGCTTGCATTATTCTAAGGTGTTAGTACAGCATATCAGATCAAGGGACGCAGCAGTCCTTTTAATCACGAAAATCAAGCCGTTGCTCTTGTTAATGCTGTTGGGTATAATTCCTTTCTTTTTCTTCTTTTCTTGTTGTGGGTAAATTAAGTCTCAAATTTGTTTCATACTATGACCTTCTTTAAAGACTTTTAAATAAACAATAACCACAATAGAACATGATAGAAAATTCGTAATGATTATAAAGTTCTGCCACTTACTAAAATGTGTTTTCTAACTACCAAGTATAGTTTTTATATTATTGACAATTTCTACCATAATTTTGCCAACTGAAGTACCACATGGCATATGGCAGCATTGTGCTTTTTCACTGTGCCTTTGAAGAAAATTATGACAGCTGCATGGCGTGGTAAGGGACCTTCAATTTTGTGTGGTCTTGAATTTCTGGGGTCGTACCGCACGGTCCAACTGTGATTTTTCATTTCAAGTTTTAACTGAAGACTTCTCTTATAAACAATTGAAAATGTTCACTGAAAATTAAAATTTTTAATTGTTTTAATGCATTTGATAAATCGTGTTTCAACACTTTTTTATCGGTTTCAAAATATATTCGACATTATTTTTAGATGAATACATCAAGCGTTAAGAGTATATGTTTACGCAAGTCGAAACTCGTTGCGTAAGTGATGAGATTTGAGCTTATATTCTTATGCACAAATCATATTTTATGAGCAAATATTATACCACTTAAATTATAATTTAAAAACATAAAATTAAGATCATATTTAATTTTTTAAATATTTATTTATAACTAACTTGTTTTTGAAACATTATTTATATTTATAACAAGCTTAATATTATATTTAAATAAAATTTTGTTATGTATATATAACACATTTTTTGTTTTGCTCATTGACGTAGAAATGCAATAGTGATGATGGTGAACTGTTGTATATCAGACCGAGTTAATACATACCGTCTGATAAGAATGATAAACTAAACTAAATTATTTTATTTTATAATTGCTTTTCAAGGTTAAAAACACATATATTTTGGACTTTCAAATTTTCAATAAAATAATTCAAGTTTCGAGTAAAACAGCAATAATATTTCCATCAACAAAAAATCTGGGAGTAATAAATTATTATTGATATACTGAATTGAATTTAGTTTAGTATGAGTTCATGCTAACCTCAGGTTCTGCTACTTTTAAATTCCAAATTGTATATACATAAATATAACAACGGTGTTTGGTGATTAAGAAAGTAGGCGAGTAAGTTGTAATCTATAATGATCCGTGGAATAAAACAAGGAGTTAATAGTGGTATATACTATAAAATATGTAAAAGGATAGTTTACCGGAAAATGATCTTCAAAGTTTGCTGCATGAATTTCAATATGCTGATGAAAGGCAGCTTTTATCCTTAAGATCTCTTGGGAGATCGGTTGATGGTGACGTGCTTACCTACCAACTTTATAATATTTTATACACATCCACTCCGATAAAACCTATAATTTTAGTTGTGTATGAACTAATAATGGAAAGTGAGAATTGAGAAAGCAAATATGTACTCCTAGTCAATCCCTGACCACCATTCCCAGGCAATTCGTCCAAGAAACTTCTCTAATGAATCGAGCACCGGTAGAAAACGAAAAAGGTCAATGGCTAAAATGAGCACCAAAGAGTAGAAGGAAAGTTGAGTGCATTGGTATGCATTTATGATGACCTTTCAGTGTGCTCCAATTTGCTTCTTTTCCCAACACTCGACCGCCTGGGAGTTGGACTGCTTAGTGCTCTCATGGGAGCACGAGAAGGATTAGGCTGTTTCAGGTGTTAAAAGTAAGTCGCTTATTGTTCTGTTCTTTAAATTGATTTGAAATGCCTTCATCTACCGTATTTGGAAGAATCGTAACAGAAGGGACTTTAAGGGTTCATCTAAGAGTGAAATCGAGATTTTTTTATTTTTTGAAGGAGCTTATTCATTTCAATTTTTATCAGAGAAAAATAGATAAAATTGACCCTATTGATGCTAAGCTTTGTATAGATTGGGGTCTACTCGGTTAAATATCGGTTTTTTTAAATAATCTAATTCTTTTATAGCGATTCCCGAATTTCTTTTGAATTTAATGTATATATTTTATCACAAAAAAGAAAATTAGAAAGAGTTGGAGTCTATAATGCTCATGTACATGATAATGGAAGACATGTTTTATGAGAGGAAATAAATTAGCAGCACTCAGCATTTATGGTAAATTTCAAATATTGTTGTGCTTGGAAACAATAAAGGTTGACTGGGTAAGGGCAACGCTATTTTCCATAATATTATTCCTAAAAACTATAGTCGCCAAATGGTCCGGCGTGGAAATGGTACACTTCAAATTCCAAAACCATAAAGTCTCCCCACGGTTATAGAAAATTTCTAAGCATGGATTTATGTCAATCATAGCTTTTGTTCGTGAGCCACCGTATTAAGGTTTTTCAACCGATTCTTTTTTAAGATACAACTTCTGATTAGCGCTGTAATGGAGCCTAATAGAGTTTAAGTATGGTTAAGTTTAACTCGACTCGAAAATTCTGAAATGGAGTTTGATTTGATTCGAAAGTTCGCGAGTTTAAAATTTTCAAACTTAATTAGAACTTAAAACAATGAATTGAAGCTCGAAAAAGCTCAGAATAAAAAAAAAAACTTAAACTTAACTTGATTGGAACTCAAAACTCAAACTCAAACCTAAGCTTTAAATACATGAAAACCTTACACTATATATAACAACACAAATGTTAATATTATTAATAATTTAATTAAAAAAATAAAATTTTAATATATTATATTTTCGACTTGTTTACGAGTTTTTCGAGTCAAGTATCAAGTAACTCGTTTCGACTCATTAAGAACTCGAGTCGAGTATTTATCGAGTTTTGACCTAGTCAGTCTCAAATAACCTACTATTTATCTTATCTACAGTACTACTTTCGATCCTGTACCTTGTGCTATAGTATCAGCAACGGCGTTAGGTTCGCCGCAGACTTGTCTTTATGTGCACAAGCCATCGTCCACTGCCTAGGTTGCTTGTAACCTACCTTAGCATCTGCACAAATGCTATGATCAATGCTATGAAACGGTCGAACGGGATTTTTTTTTATCGATACAAAAAAAGTTTAAGTTAGGAACTTAGGAATGGCTTCTCCAGTCTAAAATCAGGTACAAATTAATATTGCATTTATTATTTGAAGATTGTACGAGGATTTCAAAATCTGAAAGAAAATTCAAATATTGCATGTATTATTTATAGATTGGATTTATTCTTCTAGTTATTTGTTTTGTTTTTTGACATTACTTTTTAAAAAATTTCAACCTTTTTCTTAGTTGAACTTAGTTTTTTAGTCTATTATTATGTTTGTTTGTCTGTTTGGTTAGTAAGAAAATTGAAAAAAATGATAAGAAAGTATGGAAACATATAAGAAAACAAGGGAAATCTCGGATTGTTCAGGTCAGATCGGATTGGGTTGGGTTTTCAGTTCAAATTTCAAGCCGGATTTCGAGTTGGGTGGAACCCTTCATAATCGGAGGCGAGTATGGTGACGGGTAGATTGTAAAACTTTTTAAGTAGGAATCGGGTAGACCAAAGATCTGACCCTACCCAACTCATGTCTATCCCTTTCTAATTATCCTATTAAAATGAATCTAATTAAGTTCAGAATATATATTGACATTTTAAAATCATTACTTAGTTCATAAAATATTCAAATCTTATATCGTTTTAATTTTTTTAAATATTTGAAAAAAATATTTTTATTAAATAATTAAAAATAATATCTATATATACATGTTTTACCACTGTCACCTGATGCGGATACGTGTTCTAACATATACGTCTTCATTTGATCCAAACTTTAGAAACTCTAATCACTAAAGTATAAGGTGTTCATTTAAGAATTAATCAAACATAAATGTTACTTTATAAAATAATTTTAAAAAGTAAGCAAAAAGATATACAAAGTTCTTGTACTTTGAAAAAAAAAAATTATTGTGATATTCTATTATTTTTTTAATGTAGTCCTTTATTTTTTTTTTAAATAATGTAATTCTTTGACCAACATTTTTCGTTATTGATCAATATTAGTACAAATTCTTCATTATTATGATGCTCTAAATCAGTTATAAGTTTTTTTGTAAAAATCATTTTTATGATTTTTTTCCTTCAACAATTACTCATACAATCGAAAATTTATAATTTTGATATCTATCAACAACCATAAATAGTATTTTCTTTGTAACATATTTGAGAAATTAACTACATCAGTCGGAATAAACGAAATCATTAATTAATGACGAAAAATATTAATCTAAAAGTCACATTAATTTTTTTTAAATTAAAAGGTTATATTAAAAAATACGAATACTACATTAATTTTTTTAAATAACATAGATTTGTCTGCCCTTTTACCTTAAAAGTATAATTCGGTGAAATTTCGGTTGTTTAAATAAATAATTTTGAACTCCCTTAAACCCTCCGAGACGACATATAGGGTTTATGCAAACAGTATAACCCATTCGGCCAGTTCCAAAGTCGAGAAAAGAAAAACCTAAAGCTTCTCTCCCATTCTTCAACAAACCGCCCCTTTGAAATCCGAAGTTAAAAAATGAGCGAAGGACCTGGTCTCTTCTCTGATTTTGGCAAAAAAGCCAAAGGTAACTTTCACCTTCCTTCTGGTGCTTTTAATTTATCGAATAATTAGGTAACTATTTCCATTCTATTTTACAAGATCTACTCAACAAGGACTACACCTCCGACCAGAAGTTCACCGTTTCGAGCTCCACCTTCACTGGCTTGGTTTCAATAACAACCTTTTTCTCTTCTTTTATTTTTTAATAGATGGCAGTAACGATATGGTGAACGGTGATGCGCTTGTCAATTTGTCACGATTCTTGGTGTTTATTTTTCTGGATGATGAGTTGTCATTCTTTGAAATTTATCCTGATTGATTGTTTCTAATTATATCCTGATTGTTTTTACCAAGGGCCTGTTGCGTCATTGTGTCAGTTTGTTGATGCTATAAAGTACTTAAGATTTTCTATTGGACAACTTGTTTTTAAGTTTGTAGTAGCTCGTTTTCTTCATTTCTTTCGGTACCAAATTTGTATTTCCAATTTCGAGTTCTAAAAAGGTGAAAACTAAGTTGGTCTGGATCAGGTACCTCGTTTTTCCTTTTTTAAATGAGGTAATAAGAATTTACCGGGCTTTACGTGTTTTATAAATCCTAGGGCCAGTTATCCGTTGTGGCCCTTCTGGAAATAAATAGATTGCCACGAACTGCATGCTTCTTAAGACGGAATTTTGGATTGGGGCAAGATGTTGTCCTTTTTGGAGATCATCTAGTCCTGATTTTTTAGTCGAGAGAATAAATTTTGTTCATTGACTTGATTGGGCATATATAATAAAGATGGTCGGAGGTCGCTCAATTTTAAACTTACAGTCTTAAATTATCTTGACCCTTTGCCAACATGGAATTGTTTTGGCTGCAATCCCCACTTGGAATTGAGGCTTAGTTTCTTAGCTGAATAATATCTTTGACTCAGCTAAATTAGTTTGATTTACTCTTGCTCTGAAATTATTGTTTCTATCTCTTTTGTATTGGAGGTCTATAATTGCTTCTTGCTTTATGTATTTGTTTCCACTGCCTGGTTCGTTCTATCCTGCAAGTATCGCGGCAAAGTGAAATCTTTTTCAGGCCTTAATTAATTGAGCTTATTTTGAATTTATAAATTTTCAAGTTCTGCCTTCCATTTCTTATGCTACTTTGTGTTTATTTATTGATGGTAAACATTAATGTGATTTCTTAATCTTCAGGTACTTGTATCGAATATTGTGAATAAGGGAGGTCTCTCCTTTGGGGAGGTGGCAACACAATACAAGCACAAGAATGCTATAATCGATTTCAAGCTAGACACGGGGTCAAATGTTGTTGCCAACATTATCTTTGAATTCTGAATTCAGTTTAGATTATTGCTAATATTCGTTTATCTTTGAATTTTGAATTCAGTTTAGATTATTGCTAATATTCGTCTGATCCGTTGAGCAGATCTCGACAACCTTCACCATCACAGATTCACATCCATCTGCAAAAATGGTGGCTTCTTTTAAGCTGCCAGATTCTAACTCTGGAAAGGTATTGACTTATCATGTAAGCGTATATAATAAATGTATCCATGAAGTTTTTTGACAGTATAATTGTAGAAATCAGAGTAATTCTCTGTAATTTCTTATTCTTTTCAATATGACAGATTACATATTTATATACAAAATCTCTCTCTAAAGTAAGAAACTCTAAGAAAAGAAAAATAATAATCCTAGGATATGATCCCTTAAAATAAGGGATTGTAGAAATCTATTTACAAAATCATATCTCTATAGGAATGGTAACAAATCATCTCTATAATTCCTACACTCCCCCTCAAGTTGGAGAATATACATTGTATAATCTCAGCTTGAATAGGAATTTATTGAAAATAGGCTTTGGCAAAGCCTTAATAAGAATGTCTGCAATTTGTTCTTCTGAAGGAATGTATGAAAGTGTGACTGTCTTTTTGTTAACTTGATCAGCAATAAAATGCCTATCAATCTCAACATGCTTTGTCCGATCATGTTGAACTGGGTTCTTGGCAATTTGAATAGCAGATTGATTATCACACAAAACTTCAAAGTGATCCTATTGATTAGTGATAAGTTCTTTCAGTAGTTTAAGTAGCCAAATTCCTTCGCATATTCCCAATGCTAGTGCTCTAAATTCAGCTTCATCACTACTTCTTGAAACGACATATTGTTTCTTACTTCTCCAAGTTGTAAGGTTTCCCCAAACAAAGGTGTAGTAGCCACTAGTGGATCTTCTTTCAGTAAGGTCTGTGGCCCAACTAGAATCTGTAAAGATCTTAAGAGTTCTGTCTTGTGTCTTCTTAAACATTAAACCGTGTCCTGGAGTTTTCTTCAAGTACTTGAAAATTCTATTTGTTGCTGCCATATGCTCTTCAGTAAGATTAATCATGTGTTGACTTATCACATTTACAGGAAATGCTATATCTGGCCTTGTGAAGGATAAATAAATTAGTTTCCCAACTAATCTTTGAAATTTCTCTTTGTCTACCAAGGACCCATCTTCTTTGTTAAATTTCAAGCTTGCCTCCATTGGTGTATCAATCGGCTTACAACCAAGAAAACTAGTTTCTTTGAGTAAATCAAGTACATATTTTCTTTGGTTGATCACAAATCCTTTTGACCTTGCCACCTCCATTCCTAGGAAATACCTTAGCTTTCCCAAGTCCTTGGTTTCGAATTCCTTATTTAACAACTTCTTAAAATTGCAAATCTCTTCTTCATCATCTTCGGTAAGAATTATGTCGTCTACGTACACAATAAGGATAGCTTTCTTATTTGTAGAAGTTACCTTGATGAAAAGAGTGTGATTGGCGAGGGATTGCTTGTAGCCGTTTTTTAGAATGAATTTAGTGAACTTCTCGAACCAAACTCTGGGTGATTGTTTTAACCCGTATAGAGACTTGTTGAGCTTGCACACTTTGTTACTTCCTTCAACAGACTTTAAGCCAGGTGGCAACTTCATATAGACTTATAGTTTGCCATTAAGAAAAACGTTTTTTACATCAAGTTGATGTAATTTCCAATCGCAATTTACAGCCAAACTTAGGAGTACTCGAACAGTATTCAGCTTCGTCACAGGTGCAAAAGTTTCTGTGAAATCTATCACATATGTTTGTGTAAAGCATCTAGCCACTAGTCTCGCTTTGTATCGTTGGATGCTACCATTTGAGTTATACTTTACAGTAAAGATCCATTTATAGCAACAGCCTTTTTTCCTTGAGGAAGGTCCGTAACAGTCCAAGTAGCATTTTTCTCCAGTGCACAAATTTCCTCTTCAACAGCCCTTCTCCATTTTGAATTCTTTAGAGCTTCAGTTATGCTTGTGGGAACCTGTTCTTTATCCAAGTTTGTTGTAAATGCTTGAAAAGACAGCATCAATGATATATAACCAGCAAATTTTTCAATAGGATGCTTGGTGCACTGTCTAATCCCTTTTCTAATAACAATAGGGAAGTCATCTAGAGTAGGGGAAGTGGACTTACTGATTTCTTCTTCTATTTCGGCAGCTGGACCCAAATCCAATTCTCGGCAAGCATTAGATTGCAAAACAGCTTCAGGAATATGTTTTCTTTTCCTTGTATAGAAACGGATCTGTTTGATTGGTGTTGTTTGTGGAATATTTTGAATGGGAGTAGGTATATTTTCAGGAAGAGTATTTAAAGTGGGTATGAGTGAAGTAGTGATAGGTACTACTGGTGGATCAATGGGAGTAGTTACAGGTGATAAATCATTAGGTAAGAACAAAATTGGTGGCAATTCTGAAGGTTGAGAAAGAAGAGTAGGAGGAGATACCTGATGTGGCTGAAAATCCTTCCATGTCTCTCCTTGAATTTCAGCCTGAGTGAAATAGGGATCCTGCTCATAAAATGTTATATCCATAGTGGTAAAAAATCGTTTTGAAGGAGGATGATAGTATTTATAACCCTTCTTAAGTGAAGAATACCCAACCAGTACACACTTTAATGATTTAGGATCTAACTTGGACTTATTAGGAGCAATGTTTTGGATAAAAACAGTACAATCAAATATTTTAAGTAGAAGAATGGAGGAGATAGGTTTAAAATGGGGAAAGTATTGCAAAAAATATAGATTGAGGTGTTTGAAATTGTAAAACCTTACTAGGCATTCGATTGATTAAATATGTGGCAGTTAATAAGGCTTCCCCCCACAAATATTTTAGAACATTAGTGGTAAATAGAATAGAACGAGTAACTTAAAGGGGGTGTCTATTTTTTCTTTCGGCAATACTGTTTTGTTGTGAGGTGTCAACACAAGAACTAATCTGAACTATGCCATTTTCCCTTGAAAACGCACCCAAAAACTTAGCAAAAAATTTACTACCATTATCATATTTAAAGAGCTGAATTTAAGACCCAAATTGAGTGAGAACCATGTTATAAAATTGGGTAAAAACACCTGCAGTTTCAGATTTATCTTTTAGCAAATAAGTCCAAGTTATCCTACTGTGATCATCAATGAAAGTGATAAACCACTTACAATTATCAGCATTCTTCACCCGAGAAGGACCCCAAATATCACTGTGGATCAAAGCAAAAGGGTGAGAATGCTTATATGTAGAAGGAGAATAAGTTGATTTAGTATGTTTGGCAAGAGAGCAAACTTTGCAAGAAAAAGAATTTGACCTTTTATGAATGAATAGAGCAAGAAAAACTTTTGCAAGATAGTGAAAACTAGGATGACCTAAACGATAGTGCCATAACATAACATTATCAACTTTTTCTAAAGCGGTGAAAGATTTCGAGATTTCGATTTTATTAGAGGCAGGAAGAATGTAGAGACCATTCTGCAAGCTGGTCTTACCAATCATCTTCTTTAAGTTCAGTGCCTGCAAAGTTCAATTAATATCATTAAAAATTACAGAGCAGAGCAGTGCAAGTCGGTGGAAAGTTTACTAACGGAAACGAGATTGCAAGCCAGATTTGGTACGAAGAGGACATTTTTAAGTACAATCTGGTCATTGAGAATAACAATGTCATGTCCTATTTTGCACAAAGGACCATCAACCGTTTTGACAGCTTTACCAAAGTTTGGAAAAAAATTGCAAAACAAATCCTTATTACCAGTCATATGATCCGTAGCACCAGAATCGAGGATTCAATTAGGGACGACTGAGAAGAGAAAAAAACTGTAGCATGAGGTTTACCTTCTGGTTCTTTCATGACCAGATTACCTTCTGATTGAGCAGTAGAACCAAAAAAAATTTCTAGATTTGAAGTGATCTCCGGAGTAGGAGAAGAAGTTGTGGACATCATCTAGGTTTGAAAGAAACCATAACCTAAGCTCTGATACCATGTGGAAATCAGAGTAATTCTCTGTAATTTCTTATTCTTTTCAATATGACAGATTACATATTTATATACAAAATATCTCTCTAAAGTAGGAAACTCTAAGAAAGGAAAAATAATAATCCTAGGATATGATCCCTTAAAATAAGGGATTGTAGAAATCTATTTACAAAATCATATCTCTATAGGAATGGTAACAAATCATCTCTATAATTCCTACAATAATCTTTCTTTTGCAGTTGGAGTTTCAGTATTTGCATGAACATGCAGCTATGACTACCGCTGTTGGGCTGAAGAAATTGCCAACTGTTGATTTTTCTGCAACCATTGGAACTCCTGGCATTGCTTTTGGTGCAGAGGCAAGCTACATGACATCTTCTGGTGAATTTACAAAGTATAATGCTGGAGTGAACATGACAAAACCAGATTCCAATGCTTCAGTGATTTTGTAAGCTTTCCAGTTTTCTTTGGCAATTAGTTGTGTCATATCTTATAGCAATTTATTTCCAGTGCATTTTAGAATAGAATAAAGATTTGCATATATCTAACAAATTGGCAATATGATATTTGATTCGTTGCTGCAAGACATCAAAATAGAAATTTTCTGTTTTCCTCCTGAAAAGGGGATAATTTTAATGTCTACAATAAATGCTGTAATCAGTAGTTGCTCCTTCCTTTTCTTGCAGGGCTGACAAGGGAGACTCCCTAAAGGTGTCATATTTGCACTATCTAAATCAGCTGAATGGCGGAGCTGTGGTGGGTGAGATTGCGAGAAAGTTCTCCACAAATGAAAACACATTAACGGTGGGATGCTCATATCTTGTTGATCAACACACGCTGGTGAAGGCAAAACTCAACAATCATGGCCATCTTGGTGCTATTGTACAGCATGAGCTTAGGCCGAAGTCCTTCGTTACAGTATCTGGGGCCTTTGACACAAAGGCGTTGGAGAAGACTCCCAAGTTTGGTTTAGCTCTCTCTCTAAAGCCCTGAACAGGTATACTGATTTCATGATAAGAACAAACAACATGGCTGATGAGATTGATTTTCTTTCATGCCACTTTCACACAGGCATCTAGGGATTGAAAATGGAAACCACTAACTTTCACAAAGTACTTAGTTTTTGGATTGTTAAAAAACTTTGATCATAACGCATTATAATAAATTATTAATCTTATTAACTAGGCTTCTTGTGAACTACGTTAGAGTGGCATTTGATTTCTTTCGGTCCTGCTGGTTGGTTCACTTGGTCCAGCCAAAACAGCTCGACCATAGTAAATATTGTATATGGGCAGTAGCATTTCGAATCTAGTTTTGGAGTTCAATCTATACCATTTTGCTTTAAATTTGGAGCTGAGGGTCCAATCTAGTAATATAAATATACACAAAGTTATTTGATTAGATATTTTGGATGCTTTAATTAGTTGATAGATATTTTCTTTGGTCCACCATTTGTTTTAGTAGTTAATTTTTTCCATGGTCTACCCTATAATTTATCTAGTAATTATTGTAGCCAAATATAATTGGTTGTAAAATAGCAGAACTCAAGGATTTGTACCCCTGGACTCTGAAATTTGGAGTGATTAGTCTTAATCCTACAAACAATTGTCCAATTGATTCAACGCTGCCCCAAGGCCTAAGCCATGATGAAGCTGCTATTAATTTTTTATTGGTTTTTCTGTTGACAATAGCTGTTTTTTTTTTGGGGTGTGTGTGGATTAACCACTGGTAATCGATTTATAGATATTTTGCTCTGGTCCACCGTTTGTTTTAGTAGTTAATTTTTTCCATGATCTACCCTATCATTTATCTAGTAATTATTGTAGCCAAATATAATTGGTTGCAAAATAGCAGAACTCAAGGATTTGCACCTCCGGACTCTGGAGTTTGGAGTGGTTAGTCTTAATCCTACAAACAATTGGCCAATTGATCCAACGCTGCCCCAAGGCCTAGGCCATGACGAAGCTGCTATTAAATTTTTATTGGTTTTACTGTTGACAATAGCCTTTTTTTTTTGGTGTGGATAAAACACTGGTATCTGATCGATTATTTTGGATTGGGTTTTGCAAAGACCCATTATGGGGTCATCCTAGTAACTTAATTTATTTCATTCGTAAAGGTCAAGATTTAAATTCATAATTTTACTTGAGAAAATTAGTGTTTTATCCTATTAGATCAATTGATTGTTACTTGCTAGTGACATGGTTGTTGGTAATCATCAACTTGAAGTTGTTGCTATTGGTCTCTGTTTGACAATGTAATATTTTAGCTCATACACTTTGTCCCATGATTGGACTGAAATCATGTGATTGCTACATAGGATTCAGGTTGAATGCTTCTGCTGTTATAAATGTTAATTTTCGTTGTTAGACTAAATGCTTAAAGTTTGAAGTTGAATTAATGTTCTAGAAAGGCTGTACGTGTTTGAGTTTTCAAAGGAATTTCCTTGCAAGTTGCAACCGACCCGATTTCTTTGTCAAATTTTAGATGTGAAAAATCCTACTCAACGTAAAGGGAAAGCATGGTTTGATTATGTCAAATAATCTTTATCGTTCAAAGGATCTATTTTTGGAAGGATTTACCGGGTCTTAATTATTTCCCCCACTAGGATAAATCGGGTACTTGATTATATCTAAAACGAAGAATATATGCTGTTATACGTAATAATCTGAAGGAAAGAGAGTAGCAAAATAAACAAAAAAAGATACAATACTAGTAACAGTTGACTTTGGGAAACTATTGTTTGATTAAATTTTAAAAATGTAGAGGGGGAAAAGGAAAATAAAACTCGGCAGTTATCAACCTGAAATAGTGGTTCTAAAACCTCCTGCACTGCAATTTACCTTAGCATATAGTGCCCGAGTAGGGTCATTACATCTAAATAATTTGTTTTGAACATGGTTGTCACTGAGTCATAACTCAGAAACTGCAATCAACCGAATCTGACTGCTCAAAGGTTTCTCATTAAAATAATACGCATCTCATCACACTGAACAGGGATTTAACAAGCACAAGCAGGGCAACATCAATTTAAGAAAATATAACATGTTGAAAAATGCAAAACAGGGACCAATAGGGGGGGTGGGGCAAGCATCCAAGTTAGAAGGCGGGTTGGTGATTTGAAATTGTAGAGCATAAACACATTGATGGTAACAAGAAGCTCAAGTCAAAGCATACAAGTCGGGTAGAAAAGAGAACCACCTGAAACCACAGCTCCATTTGTCTGGGAGCGAAGGACACTTGGGTATCCAATGCCAAGTTCTCCTTGAAAGTTTGCAATACAAAACCTCCGGCCATGTGTGGCAGCACACACAGATAATACCCTGATGCCAAAAGCAATAAACGTGCTCATAGTTGTGGTAACAAACAGACACGAACTTCCTGCACATCAATTCTGGCAATCTTTCCACTTCCACCCACATCCCTCCATTACCCAATTCCCACAATCTCATGCTCCTCGAAATTCCATTCCTCCCGATTCCCCCTACCAAATACAATTTCCCTCCATCGGGGTCGCTCACCAGCCTCACAAATGTAAGCTCCCCAGGCATTTCAGTGTTGAGAGTTTCCCAATTCCCCTTTTCCAAGTCGAAGGACACAACGGAATACGGTTCAGGAGTAGCGAAACACAAAAACCCATTGAAGGACGCGCCTTCCTGATGGAAATTATCGATCAGGACTGGTTGAAAACCATCGTACTGTGTCCATGAATGATCCTTGGAGTCGTACACAAAAGCATGATTGGAAGAGAATTTAGAGCAAAGCATGAAGATATTATATCCATCCGGCGCGGAAACCAGAGTAAGCATTTCAAAGGCAAAAGGGGAGAAAGGGAATTGAATAACCCTGGAAGATTTGGCCAATAGATTGCAAACAAGGAAACAACACGAATTTGGGAGAGAGAAGCAGACAAGTCCATTACATGATGAAAGGAGATTGAACTGAGCAGCGCAAGGTGGCAAGAAAGAGAAGGGGAGGGCTAAATTGCGCCAAGCCCCACGGATGGTGTCATAGAGAGGGAAATGGCCATAGCACTGGGGATGGGAAAGCAACAAGAACGAAGTGAAATGAGAAGCAGATGAGTGTTTGGAAATGAAAGGAGGAGAGAACACAAGAGACTTGAAACGCTTACAAGTTGACCTCAAAGTCAGTAACGTTTTAAGAGGCAAAAAGGAGAGTATGTGCTCCAGAAGTTCCGGTGGTAACTTGCTCCAGATTCCAGGATCCATCTCTGCTGACTTGCTTTTCTCAGTTTTCATGCCTTCTGCACCCTAATTTTATTTAAGCTTCAGAAGAGACGCGACGCCGCTTTGATGTGATAACTGGTATGCCGGCCTTCAAGATGAATATATGGAGTACTTTAAAATTAAGGGTAAACTACGTAATTTGTCACCTAATTATTCTTATAGTTTAATTTTAATTATTTAATTATTTTTCTTAAAAATTATATCTTAGACTCGTCCGGAGATTATTTAGTGTATATATAATAATATAGTATAAATTTTGAAAATAATTTTGAAAAATATATAATATATAATTTTTAAAAAACGATTTTTTAAAAAAATATAATATATAGTTTTTTTAAAAAAATGGGTTTTGGAAATATATATATATATATATATATATATATATATATATATATATAAAATATAGTTTTTGAAAACATATTTTTAAAAACATATAATATATAGTTTTTTTGAAAATATTTTTGAAAAACATATAGTATATAGTTTTCAGAAAACGGTTTTTGAAAACAATATAATATATAATTTTTCAAAAAACGGTTTTCGGAAACATATATATAATATAGATTTTGAAAACGTATTTTTGAAAACATATAATATATAGTTTTAAAATATTTTTGAAAACATATAGTATATAGTTTTTAAAATGTTTTTTTTAAATATAATGTATGTTGCTAAAATAAATATAGCATACATATTATTTATATTTATTATTTATTATTTATTATAATATATTATTATTAAAAAAAATTCATTTTTAGGGGTCTAATAAGTCCAAAAGATCCAAAATCCAGGTTCAAAAGTGAAACCCAACCGTGCCTACAAGCCTAACCTAGCAAGCAAACCCGGTGAGAAGCCCATCCACAAGCCCACCTAACCTAGTGAGCAAGTTGCCAAGCTGAACCAACCCAATAGATTAGGGTTTCGGGAACCCTAGCACTAACGCCGAAGGGTGGTTAACAACTGAAGGGTCACCAACGACCTAAATTACATCGATCGAGATTCTCTGCGTTCAAATCAGGACAGCCTGAGACTGCACCATCCCGGGTCTTCAATAACAACGTCGTCCATCCAATTAAATCGGGAGACGGGGGTAAACGATCCCCCGAAGCAAACGAAAAACAACCCCGACTGAGGGCTATAAATTCCTCACCGGGGAACAAGAGAAGGCATCGAAAAAAACCCAGCAATACAAGCAAACAATCGTACAAGAGAAGAACAAAAAAAAATTATACACAATCAAATAAAAAAACCAAAACCAAAACAAGCCATATTACCAAAAAAACAACCAAAACAATGCCGAATAAGGTTTTTTTTACAAGCTCTAAAATACAATGCAACATTGGTCACGGTTCAGGAAGGGAGTGGCACCGAAAAACGAAAGATTTTCATCAGAAATAGGTAAAAAAACGAAACTTTAAATCTAGATCTACGCCGATTGGGACCTTTTTGGGAGTAATCGGGCTTCGATTTCATACTCACGGGGTGGATAGGAACATTTTGGTTAAGTTTGGGTAGCGGCGGTCCGGGCGGTGGTGTTTTGTCAGGAGGTGGTCGGTTTTCGACCGGCCAAGGGAAAGTTGAAAGAATATGAGAGGGGGAGGGTTTAACATTTGAGAGGGGGAGTGAAAATGAGTGTTTTTTTCTGATTTTTTGGCTATTTATAACGAGGGTCATATTGTAATTTTGAAAATTTTAAATTATTTCCGCAGTCTCTGGACTTTTTATATGTAATTCATTTTGGTCACCTATTGCAATTTTGCCTCTAAATTTTCAATGAATTCAATTTAGTCAATATTTGTAATTCATATTTTTGCAATTTAACCCCTCTAACTTTTTATTTTTCCTTGCAACACATCTTTAGTATTAATTTGGTCCCGCAATTTCATTTTTTTTATTTAATCCTTTAATTTTTTTTAAGTTTTAACATGTTCTTTCTTTTTTACTATCGTTAAACATTTTTACCTTTTTTATTTTTTGTAAATTATTCATATATTTTATTTCGCAACCTAATATTTTTATGATATTTTTAGGATAATTTTAATCAATCAAAGGTAAGTAGTTCGAATCAAATCTTTAAATTTCAATTTAACCTTCGACTTTTGCAATTAAGACAACCGAGAAATTAAATTAGTACCGAAAAGGCAGTACAAGGGCGTTAATCTTTCCTTGACTGTAATCGACTCCTGAAGCTGATATATTTTCTGGTAAAACGCAAACCAGGTAGGATGATAAATTAAGGTGTCCGATCAACCTAATTTTTCTTTTAAACAATGATCGGTAGCGGCTCTAACATGCTTCATTTAAGTCGAAGCCCAATTATGGGCCCACCCGAAGGACGATTACGATAATATCTAAAGTTATATTATATTTTTTGTTTCGATCATTTATAATTAAAAAATTAATGATGTTATTAGCTTATCGTCATGAGGTAATACTACACATCATTGGAAAAAATAAAAAATTATCATGTCAACAGTTTTATTTTTTAATAGTAGATGATCAAAACATAATCGAAATGCAATCTTAAATATGATTTTAAAAAATAATTAAGTGATCAAAATAAAATCGTGTATATACTTGTATGACTAAATGCATAATTTACTCTAAAATCAAATAGAAAAAGAGAGGATAATAGACAAAAACTATAACGAGTGTTGTACAAAGAATGAAGTTATTCACATTTCAAACCAATCTTGAAGCAGACAAAGAAAAGAGATGAAGACGGATGGACTGCAAGAGAGTAACAGTTGAGCCTCCATTGACATGTGGATTCCCCTATCAACACGCAGGAACCTTAAAGATAAGTATTGAAAATTTGACTAACGATTTACATGGGTTTGGATCTGGGTTTCAAAGTTCAATAAGAAGTGTCTAGGGATGTTCATTCGGTTAAAACGGTGGTCGACCGAATCGAAATACACTTATTCGAATTAATCGAATTTTTTTTTTCTTTAACCGTTAATCTAACCAAACTTTTTTTTGAAAGTATTAACCGAACCGAATAAAATTCGGTTAATTTTCGAATTAACCGAAATTATTTAGAATTTAATATTTTTAATTAAAAAAACAATTTACAATTTATTTAAATAATATCTAATTAATTTGATTCAAATATTTTGTATTTAGTTTTGAGATTATTTTAATTAATTAATATTGATTTGGGTTTTAAATAGATTGGGCCAGCTAAGTATCTTAAATATTATTTAAATATTAATTCGGTTAATTAACCGATTTCGAATCGAATTAACTGTTAACTGAATTCTAAAAAAATCCTTAACCGTTCCCCGACCGAACTAATTCGATGGCCGACCAAATTAACCGAACTAATTCAGTTCGATCGATTAATTCGATTAAAATCGAATTTTGAACACCCCTAATAGCGTCAGGCAGGCGCAAGTGGGTAGGAAATTAACACTAGCCTTCTTCATTTTAGGACAACAAATGATCCCTCCATTAAACGCCAAGAATGGATTAGGAGGCCTAATAACTCGGATAACAATGGCTTTTAACTCGAGCAACAGAATGCAAAAAAAAGGACATTGAACGTAATTATTTCCTTTGAAGTACAACAGACGGTAAAATGAAGAAGAAAAGTAATAATTGACAAGAATCAAAGAAGTGTGCATATACATACATACATATGATATATACAAGTGGAAGAAAGAAGGTAAAGATTGCAATGTGATATCAGTAATAAATCGGTGTAGCAACAGGTTCGAATCAATCAAATTATCCTGATCTTTAGGATGGATGAATTAGAACTTCTTAGATTGAAAGCTGTGTCAGATTGATCAGGAACAGCCCAAGCAAGCAATTGAAAATTACCGAACCTCGCTGTCTCCGATTCAAGCACAAAGAGAAGCGCGGTCTAGTCACACTTTCATTCAAAGACTCCTGATACAGATGCAAATCCCACATACGGGTGAAAAAAGTTAAGTGTTTTTTCACCTTAGTTGTTGAAGAATGTAGCTGACAGAAATACGGAAATGGCTGCCTGCCAAGATCTAGATACCAAATTTTATTCGTGGCCTGATGCAGAAATTTCATTAAAAAAGCCAGTCATTAGAAATTTGTTCACCCAAAAGTTGGCATACAACAGGTACAAATCCATCCATCACTGCATCTTTGTTTACCCAAGGCGTTCATTTTGCAGATTCATTATTTGAAGTCCATTCAGCTTGGTGTCGCTCACTGCCAATAAAACCAGAGCATTGTTTTAACAGCAGCATTTCTAGGGCAATTTAATCACATCCGGTTGCAAGAAGCTTCCTAATGAATGCTGTTCGATTAGATCCTACAAATCATGATGCGTGGATTGATTGCCAAAATGGAAGGGTCGTTGCAATTAGCAGTAGGCTTCTTTCAAGCAGCCTATGAGTTGAAGCTATCAGCTCCTGTTGAAGCCTTCACATGATGGGATTTTGATCAGTTAGCGCTAGGTAAGGTTGTTTAGTCGGTCCTACATTCTGTTATTCGGCATAAAATTTCTATTAAAATGTATAGCAACTTCTTAATTTTTTGCTACAGATTTTTCTATTGACACCATATGAGCAAAACTTGACTCGATTCAAAAAATCAATTAATTCAAACTCGATTAAAAAAAACTCTACTCAAAATGCCTTCAAATTGTACTGAAAAAAATTTAAGTTCAAATGGAGTTGTAAAATATAACTCACTCAATTTTTTTAATAATTAATGGATGAATTTTTAAATTAGAGTTGAATCCCTCAATTATGTATAATATATGTATATCACATGTGAAAAAAACAGACATATATTGTGTTTGAATCGAGTCGAGACCCTCTTCAATTATATCACATAAAAAACTATTTAAATTGAAATTAAATAATATCATAATATTACAAATATTGATAATTAAATTTAAACACAAACTCGAAAATTCGACTGGACTCGAAAAAATTTCAAGTCAACTCCGAGTTGTAAAATAAGACTCATCAACTCGAATAACTCAAATTTTTTATTTGACTCGACTCGATCGAACGATCGCCCCTAGACACCATAATTCTTTTTAAGTCTCAGGTTTCTTCCATAACAAAATTCTCTTTATTTCGTAGAAACCGAATTTCCATGTCACACGATCCAGAAAACCGGGCACATTAAAAACTACAGGGGCACAAAATTAGAGAGGGAAGAAGGGAATCTGTACAGGAAATCGATAAATTAGATAAGTCCAGGTTGAAATTGTACAGAGGAAAAAAAAACGTAAGGTTACAGTTTCAACCCAATCTTGGATTTATCATACATTACCACTGAAAATAGAGAACAAAGACTGAACTGTTAGTGCACCTTATCACTAGCTTATTGACAAGAGGAACTCGAACTTGCAAATTATGGTAGCATTAAATTTTATTTCTGCACGACAGAAAACAAGAAGTTTACAAGGTGAAAAATTAAATGAAATTGAAATGGTCCCAAAATCCTCCTGCCTGAAGCTAGAAGTGGTATCAGATGGAACAGATGCCTATTATAGTGTGAAGAAACCTTAGGCATAAAAACATGAGTTTAAGATGGAAATGATCACAGAACAGAAATTTTATTTCTGGTGTGTTAAAATTCTTGATGGTGATGTGCATAAGACTACCAATGTGGCATAAACAGAGTTATGGAGGAAATTGCTGAAAGAGATTGAATCCCTTTGGCGCATGACATTCAGGGTGATGACATAAAAAACCCATGTGGAAATCATGATGTGCATAAGAAAGAAAAAAACCACTGATGTAGAAAAACGAAGGAATACTTGATGGCAAATCTGTAACCAAAATTGTTGAATAAATAACCATGCAGAAAGATTTACCAATATACATGAGCAATTTCGGCTAAGAAATACTTCAACCCATCTGCCACTGCAACAGAATCACCAATCAACGAAAGTGTCAAATTTGTATATTTGTTGATGAACTGTAAATAGCATGGACACTAATTCCCAAAGGAAATTGGATTATTTATCAGAGTGCAAGAGCCAAAGGCAGCATGGCATGGGATTGGAGGACAAAAGTATCATTAAAGGAAAGACCATGCCACGATAAAACGGTGAAATTGAGAAACCAGTTATTGAAGCTACATTGGAATATTACTATTTGTTGAGAAACCACCTTCAAAACAGGTTCGCCTTTATTGGAATTTGTTGACTGCTTCGCAGCAGCTTGCAACTGTGCCCGTGCAGCTCTTCCTGCAGCTGACTGTTCGAACTGCTCTTGCCTGCAATTTTGATCAATGTTTTCAATTTTTAAAAAGATGCAATAAATGAACTGTTAGAAAGCTTCGCAATACCCTTATCATGCCTTTTCCTCTATTTGCCATCAAATCAGAGGAATATTCATCTTGCACAGCTACAAAGAGCAAAGGACTTCACAGCTATTAGTTCATGTAACAACTTGGATAAGGAAATCAAATCGATATTATTATCCAATTTTTCAATCTTCCATAACAAATTTGCAATCCCTAATTTCGGCACTGGATTTCTCTTTATATCAAAACTCAACAACCCAAAGAGTTTTCCAAATCGAACGGATCAGTCTTATATGGCCTCCTCGAAAAGTTTGGGAATTAATAAAAAAAATGTAGGAAACCTATACCTTTTCATATGCTAATCCGAATATGAGAGAAAAGAATAGCGAGTTGTAAAAGGGTTGAGAAATTAAAGAGAAGGGGGGATTAGATTACCTTTTCTGAGCGGCCTCTGCGGCTCTGGCACGAGCTTCGGCAGAGGCCAACCTTTCTTGCTCCTTTCGCTCTTTGTTTCCTCCGTCGAAGCAAGGGAAACACCCCATTGTTTTTTCCCCTCTTTCTCTCTCCTTTTAACTTTTTTACCAGCGTTACGCGCTATTTTATGGATTGCAGTCGCGTTTGCTTATTTATCCCTTTATTAAACAATTAGAGAACCGCCACGTCAATTTTTTTTTTGGTCTTTTCTGGAGCCGGGCCGTTAGCTGTTGGAGTTTCATAGATCTCTTTAAACTTAAAATATGAACTAAATTATGTAAATGGTAAAAGAATAACTATTATATTATTCTTTAAGATGCAAAATTCAAGTATCATATATATTAAATTTAAATATTCAATATCAAGTCATTGAAAATTCTATTAGGATATATATTATAATATATTTAATCTATATTAAAATTAAAAACTTAAAATTACATGTTTGTTATCGTGTTTAGGGATAACAGATGAGTATAATTTCGTAGACTTCGTATTATATTTGCTTCAATTGATGAGGCGATGGATATAAATTTAGAGGGTAGTAGACAAGTATAAAAGTAAAAAGTTATACTCATCGTGGGTAATAGATATGTTATGGGTTCGAGGTCTTACTCATCTACTAATTATCCACTGTATAAATTTTAGATCATTATAAATTTAATTATAATTTTATAGATTATTATGTAAATCTTAAGATTATAGGACATGACTTATAATTAAATCAAATGTTAGAGGATAAATATTTTTATAATAAGACAATCTGGTACAGACGAATTCGTGACCTTGGGTTTTTGAGTAGTAGGAAGAAAAGGGATGAAATAGGTGGACGTTAAGGAATTGGAAAAGAGTTTCTAGATTGGAGAGGTTATCTAGCGGAGAAAATGGATGAGATTGAGCATAATCTTGAAGGAGTTAAGAATAATCTTAGTGTTGAAATTCAGTTTCGGATGATTTTGAGAGAATGAAGAAAGATTGGGAGGAGTTGTATGCTTTTCGAAACAGAGGTTTGTAAATTTGAAATTGAATTTGAAGTGGGCTTTTTCTTTTTAAATGAGCTTCTATTTGAAGGTTATTCGAGGGCAGGAACAGAGGAAGACAAGAGCCAGATACGATTGTATTGGTAGGGTTGGTTTTCGGAGCCAAGAGTTTCATCCAAGCCTTCAATGCCTGGTTACGCATACCCATTTTTTTCATTTGGGAAGATAAGGCAATTCTTTCTTTTTTGCCTTCAGTTGCTTCGTTTTCTTTTGCTATCTCTGAATTCTGGCAAATCTTTTGAAGCCTATATGTTGAATGTGTGGAAACTGTCTTGATTTGTGTCTGTAAAAATTATTGGTTTCCTGATGTATTAGATGGGTGTAAAACTTTGTGTAATCACCAATTTTGGGAGTGTCGACACTTTGGAACTTTTAATCTTGTAGAGAAAATTGTATATTATCTATCAGATTTGATAATTTTCGCAACATTTTGTTTTTATTTTTGTTAACGTAATGTTCTTTTACTTTCCTTCACTGACCTGAGGCCTACTGGCACCATAGTTAAGCACGTAAGCTAGATGAATGTATGTTAGCAAGAATTGAATAGAAATCAAAAGTTTAGCCTTTCTTGCTTCTATTGATGGGATTTGTAGGGTTTAATTGCATATTTTTCTTATGGTAATAATTTATTTTCTTATAATTTTTTTTGTCATTGACAGTAAGATGCTCATGGAATTTCACTTATAAAGGAAGACTAATGAATACACCTGGACTAGTCATAGACGGATATCATAAATCTGTTCTCTAATACTTTTCATGTAGTTGCAGTATTGTTCCTTGCACTTATTGCGACATGTATAAAACAATGTTTGTTTTTGCATGGTTGATTTGATTTGGGCTGAATTCTATGAAGTTGTCAGATGTGATGCAAAAGAATAATACTTTTGCTCAGTTATTTTGCATGATTGTCAGATGTGATGCAAAGATGATATTATTGCTCAGTTATTTTGCCAGCATATATTTAGAATTATTATATATTTTAGATTTTTTTATGTATTTTTTTATTAAAATTATGTATTCGTCTTCCTCTAAAATAATATAATTCATCCCTTCCTAAAATTTTAGAAATTCATCTCTTATATAAAATCTTGTGTTCGACCTTGTCTCATCTCACTTCCAGCGGTGCACTTAGAGAATTAAGGTCAGAATTCATATCATTGGTGAAGATAAATTATTCTTTTTACAGTTCTCTTATATCATTAATACTGGTTGATAAGTTTTTGAATCTTTTATTGCAATTTACGGTTAATGTTTTCAGCTAGATCATGATATTTTTTTCCTTTTTTCTTTTTTAATGCAGGAATGAAAATACAGCTGCATATTTAGAATGATTTATACAAAGATTGGGAGAGAGTGTCTGAAGAAGAAAGTTAATGCAGCACAAGTTGCTGTTGAATCATAATTTCTGTCATGCATGTTTCATTTTTTGGTTACAAGATAAAACACTGCGAAAGCAGTGGTAAGATCAGCCTCTCAAGCCATTCCAGTCGAGGTTGAGGAGATCGTTCATCCCATCAGGTGGGTACTGTGATAACGAAAGTCCTGGCCTCCCATTTGTTCCCATTCGAGCCAAGGCAACAGCTACACCGTTAGCATCCCTGCATATGTGCGGGATCTTGACCTTCCATTGAAAGTGGATCAGTCTACGAATTCTTCGAAGGAGCTGTGATTCGTGCATCTGAGGAGGCGTAAACCGAATCGCCACTATATGAACTATTGATGTTTAGATTTACATTCATAGTCTCATTAATTGTAAATGATCTCAAGAAAAGAATGAAAAAGAATATAGAAGGAACTTGGGATTTCCATGGCCGAACGGCGCAAAGATGTGAACATATTACAAAATGTAATGTGCAATAACCAGCAGCACGACATCAAATTAGAAAGCAATTTGTATATGAAAAAAGAAATCAATGCAACAAATTCACTGAATCAAGGAGACGACCATCTAGGACGATATGTTTCAGGTCCATAACAAAATGATCATGAAGAAATCCAAACCCGAATGTCCCATTTATGTATTGCCAAATCCTTCCTTCCCCATGCTGGAGACCAGCAGATCCCAAGGATGGAAGTATTAAGTTGCAACTTGAGTTAATATGCAGAATGTGAGAAACCATCTCAATATCTGTCATGACAGGCAGACTATGATCCTCAGCTGCAAATGGCTGAAGATGCATGCGATTCTCATAGATATGTTCTTCTTCTGCAGAAAAAGGTGACTCCTCTAACATAGGTTCTGATGTCCAGAACACTAGTGTGTAGGATGATGACAAGTCCCCAATCGTTTGGCAGATTATGCCCCCAATTTCATCATATTTAACTAGATAAAAATTCAAGTTCTTGTCACCAGAAATTCCCTGCAATTATAAGCTGGATGAGAGTCAAATCTGGGCTGAAATAAAGAACAACCTGACATGATGGGAAACATTTATCAAACACTTCAGACAAATACATTCGTAAATCATATTAACCAAGTGCAATTGCAAACCGAATCAGATGATATCCCACAAAAAAGACCGCAAAGAAAGCCAGAGAAAACAAGGATCAATCAGTACTAACATGACAGCATGAGCTGAAAACTAGAATTCAATGAAATGTTAACAAAAGTCTTAAGGCAAGCCTTCACAAAAAACCTTAGAAGGCAGCATTACAATCATTCCCATTTTGCTACTCATCCTACCAAGTCAGACAATAACTCCAAAGACTACTACTACTTTATTAGTGGACAACAATATATATACAAACACAAGTTGTTAACCTAAGACATAAAACACAAATTGGAAAACGAGGAGTTTTCACAACACCTTCCAAAGACCCTGCAAGGGCTTATCTGGAGTAGGGGAGCAATCAACAACTTTAAGGAAATGCTCAGGCTCCCATTTCCTCATCCCTTGCCTTTCCTTCTCCTTCTTCCTCTGCCTCCTCCACGCTCTATCCCCAACGGGGCTCGTTCTATTTGCGAAATAAGTATACATTTCCGATACCAAACGGTCGGGTAAGCTTCCGGCAGTTCCACTCTCAATAACTTCATCACTATCTTCTATCAAATTCTTTGAGCTTGAACTCCTTGTCAACACATCTTTACTTTTACAACTATTCCAAAAGTTTAAATTTTCTTCTACTATAAAATGATCCTTACCCATGAAATTAACATTGGCTGGAACCAAATTTTGGTCCAAGCAGACAAATTCCAACCAGCTATCGAAATCCCCGGACGGTTTTTCAGCTTGGCCTTCTAGATCGAGAAAGTAAACGATTTGCCCACCTGGGGATATCCCCATCCACAAGAACGGTTCTTTCGTAACATGGTACGTTCCGTTTTTATAAGGACAAACCCTAGAACCGGAAACAAACGATGATCCCCACTCGAAAATAATCAACCGAGGACATTGACTTGAGAGGCCGGCTCGACCGCAGTGGCGCCAGAAGCCGATGAGATTCTCCCACTGGGTTAGGGTCTTGTAAAGGAGCTTGTAGGTGATTTTACCGCCACCCCATTTATTGATCTGGGTCTTGGAGCCCCACCGGCGTTGGCAAAGGGTGAACCAGAGCTTGATGTCGTTTCGACATAGCGAAAGGAACCGTTTAGAGGTGCAAGCGAAATTGGCGATCTCGGACAGGGAAAGGAAGGAGAGGATGCAAAGCTGGACGTCTTCAGGGAAGTCGGAGAAGGAAAATGAAGACTCGTTTGGGCCTTTGGGATCAGCCATAATTAGTTCAGGGACAAACAAACTTTGTTTTGTCTGGAGATAAATCTGTTGGTTTTATTTGAGGCGAAAGTTTGGCAAGGAAGAGGTTGATTTGAGTAGATTCTTAGAGATGAGGGAATGATTCCGATAACAGTTATCCACTAAACCGTTGTTTTGTCTTCAATTAAGGCAAGGAAACAAAACATTGGCACAAACAAATGCTAAAATGCCTACTTCGGTTGGGATTTGGAAGATTTTGCGTGCACTGCAATATTATTACCTTTTAGGTTGGGCTTCGATAAGCTTGGGCCTCTCAAAATAGGAGTCAATGAGGAAGGAGTTTTTTTTTTTGAAATACAATCAGGCATGACTTATGTATGTCAAAAATGAACACTATGAGGAAAGTCCGAAATTGTCTTCTTTTTTCAATTTCACGTTTTGTTTAATTATCATTTCAGGATGTTCCATAAAATCCAATTATATGTACGAATCTGTGTTATGAAAAAGTAAGCAATTTTAATTAGTTTTTCGTACAACAGTTTGAAGGGGGGAAATAAAACTATCAAGTACTAAAAATTCATTGATTCCATACATCAAGATCGTCTTAAATTCTTAAGCTCTCCCTCCATGGAAGCCGATTTCCTCCCCGGCACACTGTCCTTGGGATCTCGGCGCTTCAGTCTCCTGTTGCCGCTCCGATCAGTTCCGTTGAAAACATGATCCACCAATTCTTGCAAAGATTCGGGAGTAACATAAGATTTTCCGGGCAACAACTTTGAGTGTGTCTTCAAGAATTCACTATAAACAGGAACCACCAATTTCACTGTTGCTCCTCTTAATTGTGCCCTTAAATCAGCGTCAGGGATGCTATAACCCCCTGCATGCCTTTGTGAGATCTCATCAAAGCATTTGAAAAATGCTTCCAGTTTACCTCTCACAAAAGCCGCTGCAGCTTTGGTGTCTTGCTCCTCCGATTCTTCCTTCCCCAACAACCTTACTAATGTTCCCCATGATTGCCATTGATACATATACGCTGACTCCTCTGCAGCGCTCTTGTATTTCCGTTTCATGTATTGCTCTCCTAAAAGCTTCCCGAGTTCTGTATTCCTGCTTCTCATGTAAATGTACCAATACGTGTTCATCACGAATATGTGGGGCAAGACTTTGTCCCTGTAACTCGAACTCTTGGACGCGATGTGTCTCTGAAGAGCTTCCATGATGTTAGAGATGGCATCTTTGAGTAAATTCCAATCTGTGTCGGGTTTCGATAAGATGCCAGCTTTCCAGATCTGCTCTGCTCGTAGAACTTTAGCCATTGGTGCACTATATGTCTCTGTGGTAAGGTACTTAAGGTAATTGACAGCATATCTCACAAGTTTCGGTATTGAACCATCTTGTGGTGGTGCAAAACCATCGGAAGTGCCTTCGATTTGGAGGCCAAATTCCCAAAATACTTTGCTTGAAGCATGGACGAGTAACTTTTCGAGTTCCCTAAAACGTATGCAAATATCAGCTCCTGATTCACCTTCGAAAATCTCAGAAAATTCGGGTTTCATCTTTTCTAACGAGTCGAACATTTCCAAGAGTTTGAACAGTTTCTGGGGCTCGCTGTTACTCCTTGCAACACCTTCTCCAAAGCGGAAAAATACTGCCATGATTTTATCCGCGATCTTGACGAAACACTCTAGCCAAATAAGCACTTCGGAATGTCCTCCCAAAACTTGTTTGCACAGTTTTTTTTCTGATACAAAGACCGTTTTGACTGCAAGCTCGAAATGCTGTATCCAAAGAGAAATTGCTGTCTCCAGGCTCTCCCACTCCATTTCATCAATTTCTTCTGGAGTGTATTTTCTTAAGTAATCCGGGCTTAATCGCATCAGCGCTTTGGCTGCTCTTCTGTATCTCATCTGTTAATCAACCAAAAGTGTGACAAATTGAAGGATCCAAAATGTAAAAACAAAACTACTTGTTTGAACTATCTGTCTAGGCTCACTAGTCTAACTCGATGCATATGGCACACAAGCTTTCAGTTCCTCGAAGTTGAATTATACAATGACCTCATCAAGTTTCTTCCTTCTAGCAATCTGTTAAATCTCCTAAAATGTCAGCTTCTACATCTCTGTTTGAATCACATAATATTGTTTGCACCTTTTATAGTCATGGCATTTCGTTTACAAACTAGTAGTTTGTTGTTCTAGCCTGGGAAAATAACCAAAAAAAAGAGAAGTTGAAATCTAAAAAGCAAGATATTTTGCTTACCTTAACGAATATATCAATACATATATCCAAACAATCATTGGCAGCGAGGGTTTCTGCAATTCGCTTAAGGATTTGGACCTGCATTTCTGTGCCAATGTCGGGGACCACTGGAACTGGTTGATCAGCTTCTTCATCCGCTTGTTGCTCCCCTATGTTTTGATGTCTAATTTGCTGTAACATAATCTCGAATTCATCCTGCAGATTAAGTAAAGACTCGTCAAGCAACCCATCAAACTTCATAGCATCAACCTCAGATTCGTATAAAGCTCTAAGGGTGATTAAAGTCTCCTTCAATCTTTCTGTTCGATCTCGATCAGCGGCTTTTGTTCTGCTCAAGAATTCCACTACCTCTTGAAGCTTTTGAATCACCGGCTCTCCATCTCGACTGATTAAGTTAATAGTTTCGTTAAGCTGATCAACACATTGAACGTATTTGAGCAGCTTTTTAAGCCTCTTCCTTGGGTTTTTCTCAATAGATAGTTTGTCGGAGAGTTCAATGAGCTTGTGCTGAAAAGTTTCAGAGAGCTTGAAACTATGGAGGAGATCAAGAGCCGGAGTGACCGCTCTATTAATTCTGGTCTCAAGAGCCTTGGCAGCCATATCCAGGGACTGCAAAGGCGCAACTCTTTTTGCAGCTGTTGAGAGACTTTCATCTATATAATCAAACTTCTTCTCCATCTTTTCCAGGTCTTTTCCCATTTGAGCTGATGATTGTAGGAGTGTTCTTAGATCGGAGCGCGCCGATTCTAGCTTGAGAAGCGTTGAATCCACTTCGTTGGCTGACATTGATCTTTTCCTTGACAAACTAGCAGGCTACAATGATACAGAGACAGAAGAGCAGAGAGAGCAAATTGAGAGGTCGGAAATACTTGCAACCTTTCCTAGACTCCAAGAAACCAATGACAAGAACAAAGTGTTGGTGTTGGCAAAACAGGACGAGAAAAGGGTAAATAAGACTTCATCTCGATACACACCAAGAACAAATGGCATGAGCTGATACAAAACAGACAAATTTGCAAGAGAAAAAACTAAAAATGTTCGGCCGGTGTGCTTGGAATTTGTCCACACTCCAAATTCCAAAAAAAAAAAACAGCACCTTTTCTTGCTATCAAACCATCAATGCTCCTTGTGGGGTTTTTCTTTGTTAAGGTTTAAGCCCAAAAATACCAAGGAACTCGGTTTTTTCCCCAATACCCCAAGCGGGATAATTTTTTAGGGTATTAGGCCGGCCCATATTTTATTTTAGGAAATACGACAAATGTTACAGTGTAGATGACGAGTTTCCTCGAATATTATTTTTAATGGTCCTCCAATAGTGGGCTCCACGTGGGCTATCATTTTATTATTATTAATATGACTCGTCACCTCGACGTGATGGGTCTATTAAAAAATTAATTTTTTTATTTACATAATAAAATTAAAATATTTAAATTTCAAAAAAAATTAGGTGGAACTCATCACCTCAAATTCAAAATTACTAGCATTTTTGTAGTTGTTGGTCAATGGTCAGGCCAAAATTTTGAACAACTAGTCGTTTATAGCTGTTGAGACTAAGGCAATAAATAATGGTTTGGTTTTTTTACCCAAACCCTAAATCCAAAAAATACCAAAAAATGCTTTATTTGAAAATCTCGAAAAATAACAACCCGATAATATATGTTTTATCTGGATAACGTCCATGTTTCGTCGATCCAACGTTGGCCGAAAGATGAATGAAATATTCGTAAGCGGGGTATGACATATAGATCGTCGCATCAGCGGATGCTAATATATCTGCAATAATCTGATCTATTTTCGGCCATATATGTATGTGGCTTCAAGCTGCACCCAACGTTGATTGAGGCTTTGATTGAACGCTAGCGGCCCGAGACACGCACATTCTATTTCTCGAGTGGTGAAGCAACGATTAATTTAGAAGACGTCGCTCACCAACTCGGTGTTCATGTGAATAGAGCCCCCGTGGTGAGGAAGAACATTTACAACCCCGCGACATTGGTCTACCAAGTTTTGGGAAAGATGTCACCATCCGACGTCGACTATATCGAGAATGAGGTTATTTTCACGTGATAACGTGGTTGGGGTATAAATTCCATGTGACAGTCGACTATATCGAGAATGAGGTTATTTTCACGTCCCGAGCATATCTTTTCCAACTGATCGGAGGGGTATTATTATCGGATAAATCAGGTAATTTAACGCACACTTAGTATTTGCAATATTTGGAAGACTTCATTGTTTGTCGTAATACCAGTTGGGGCTCAACGATTTAACCTTTATGTACCATGAGCTTTGCAAGGCTGCAATTGTTCAGACGGGCCGAAAAGTCGATGTAGCAGGCTATCTTATATTGCTACAGTCGTGGGTTTGGTATCGATTCCTATTTTTTACGCCAATTACAACAATCACATTGAGTTTCCACTGACTGAAAGGTAATTGTTTAACTGCGTTTATTTAACCTTTTTTTAATTTCATAAATTTAATTTTTTTATTTGTTTATAATTTTTTTATTTTTAAATATTTTAGATAGCAACATAAAATATCAGAGACGTAGTTGGCGGGTGCCATTGCACGAGATATACGGATGAGGATCGACATCGCCATTTGATATGTGGTATGACATACAATTTTTTTTAACTTTATGTATATTAACTTTGATATTTAATATTTACAGTTTTTTTTGTTTTAGTATGTTGACGAGGAGATCAACAAGTTATTGCCAGTGCGATTTTTTTAGGAGTCCCACTTATGGTGTGTCGTGACGTCGTTATTGCATTATGCGATTGTTAAGTGGCACGACGCTGATAAAGTGATGCGATAATTTGCGTCGTATCAGCTGATTCTTACGTAAATCGTTGATATGGACGCGATCTATAGAATTGATACGCGTGAGAAACATAAAGAAAATTGACATGTGAAACACGCTTATTACATCGAGCTATGGAATCAGCATGAACTATCGGTCCCCCCGCGTAATGACATTACACAATTGGACCTAGATTTCGACCATTCTTCCTATCTCCGAAATTACGAAGCAAATAGGAAACAATATCTCACGACACGGGTAGATAAAGGAGAATGAGAACATCATCAGGCCACATGCACCAAGTCCAAAAAGAAAGAATCATCGTCATCTTCTTCCACTTCAGCATCTGCAGCTGAAGAGTATTATTATGCATCTCATACTAGTTTCAATTTTTATCATCCATATCATACTTCAACTGAGACTCGACCGACTTAGGTTGGAGGTTTATGGGATGCACCGCAATACACTCAAGCATCTTCGATAAAACATGCGGTTGCGGGTGAGTGGGCTTATATCCTATATGGTCAACAAAATAGCAGCCAAGTCGAATAAATTACGGCGATGATGGCGTCAAATACCATAAGTCCATCACCGTATTTCGAATGTGGATCGCAAAGTGTGTTAAGTATACCTCCTCAGTAAGATGATGACAACGACGAGGATCAAGACCTACAACCCCTACGTACTCGACGAGCCCTGCGGCATTATCATTCGACCACTCCTCGGCATCGTAAAGAACTTAGAAAATATAAATAAATTTTATTTGTAAATTCCATGTAAAAATTTATTTTTTGTAATTATTTATTTACTTTATATTTTTTAAAATATAAATAATTCATTTTTTAATTTTATTTATTTAAAAAATTTCCTATCCAAGTGACCATTGCTTATTTGCCCATTGACCAACGGATAGTAATTTCGAATTTGAAGGAATTCGTCACCTCGAGAGACAACTTCCATTTATTTATTTTTTGAAATTTAAAGATTTTAATTTTATTCTACAAATAAAAAAATAATTTTTAATAGACTCATCACATCAAGATGATAAGCCATATTAATGATAATAAATTAGTGGTTCATGTGGGATACACTACTCGGAGCCTACGTGCGGTAAAATTTGCCGTATTTTTCAAAATAAAATCTGGGCCGGCCTAATACTCTAAAAAATTGACCCTCTTGGGTATTGTGCAAAAAAAAAAACTCCATTCAACAAACAGAGTAGCCCAATAACCCGAACCCAAAGCAGAAAGCGCGAAACTTCTGGTTAAATCTCTTACGTAATCATCTTTAATCGACTTTGAGACTCTAAAACCAAACAGAGGGGGAAATGGCTTGTTTTGTGCATCGTGTCGGTCGGAGCGTAGTTCGAGCTCATCGTCCAGCTCAAGTTTTATGGAAACGCTGCTGCTCTTCGGATGCTTTGATGGAAATCGATACAAAGCCTGGTGAGGTTGGCATGGTCTCCGGAATCCCAGAACAACAACTAAAACGACGGGTATACATCTTTCTTTCTTTGAGTTTTTTTATAAGCAAATCTTGTGGAATGCATGCGTCTTTATAGCGGTTTTTAGGTTTCCCTGACTCGTTTATTAACGTGTGTTATTCGGCTTTAAGCATACCAGGTTATAATTTACTCTCCTGCTCGAACTGCATCACAGAAGGGCTCAGGGAAAGTTGGGAAATGGAAGATCGATTTTCTATCAACACATAAGTAAATCTTGTTTCCATTTCTATATATCGTTTGAAAATCAAAGTCTTGCAAATATTAATTCACCTCCTTCTGTAATTTTGTTTCCTCATTATTATGGAAAATTTTAATTTAGTTATATTTTAGAATTTTTATTTATTTTTTTATTGATTATCTAATTTCGGAGTCCTAAAATTTTATAATTTTATAACCTTACATTTTTTTTAAATTTCTGCTTTCTGTCCTGATCATGGGCAATTAATTTTCTGCCACTTGTAAATTATTATTATTATTACTATGAAAATTCTTCATTCATTTCATGAATGATAATATGATATTACGGGTAATAGAAACATTGACATTATTTCATTTCCTTCCGTCGACATTTTGTTTAGGTGGGATAATCCGTTAATGGGTTGGACATCAACGGGAGATCCGTATGCCAATGTCGGTGAGGCTGGACTTGAATTTGATAGTGAAGAAGCTGCAAAGGCATTTGCTGAGAAATATGGCTGGGAATACCAGGTATTTCCACCCCAGTTTTCACCTTTTCACTTCAATTCACGCATCAAAAGCCAAACAACTGCAATGCGATGCCATCTTAAAGTGTTGATTTCTATTTGTATTTCCCCCAAAATGCTGCATTGTTCTGCATACAATACACAGAAGTGCCTCGACGCGCCGCAGCCACTACTTTGACTCCTTTTATGCAATTATGAACTCCACTGAACTTTCTCGATTCCAACGGCAGTTGGTTACAGTCGGCAATCCAGAAATTTCTCATGAGAATGGATTCTAAACTTATGATTTCGTACTTGCATGTTTCAATTCTTTGTTGTATTCAATCTTAAAGTGTTGATTTCTATTTGTATTTCCCCCAAAATGCTTGGTTTCACATTGGTTTTTCTGCAGGCCAAGAAGTGACATACCCCTCTTCTAAAGGTTTGTCCCACTGTTTTCTTTGATTTGCTCATTTATCCTTGTTAGTAACAAATTAAATCCTCATGGGAGAATTTAATCGGTTTCTCCTTTATCATTCCAGCCCAAGTCATATGCAGACAATTTCAAATGGAAGGGCCCACCAGCGGATCCTGAAGAGACAAGAAACTCTCTGGAGTAACCTAGGCTATGAGGATTTTAATTTCCAGACTTCATCTTGTTGCTACATTTTTATTCTACTTTCGCTTCTCGTATATAATGCATATGCATGTAAAAGGATGATAAATAAATGACATAGCAAATTAGAGAGCTCCATATGACAGAAGCTTATGTTTACATGTATTTACAACAATAAAAAGTAAAATATATTTGTGGGTTTATGGTTGGATAAAGTCTATAGGACCTTTTCATTTAATAATGGTTGGAAAATAATATACATTGGTGGTCCAACTTTGTTTTATGCCAAGGTAGTATGCTCCGCCATTATTTTCATATTTTTTTGGGGTGATTGTTGAATTAAATTATAGAGCCACAAACAAAGATGAAGCAAGGAGTACAAACTTGGCATATATACAGACACCGACAGAAAAGTACTCCACTTTATACTTGATATGTAGGTCTCAACTGTACATACGGTTCTAGCTAGTTGGTATTTGTAGTGAAACATCTGTATACACTTAAAATTTGAGGGCAAGCTCGCCTAAAATGAGATGCGCTTCCTTGTGGACATGGATGGAACCTCCATGAGAAGAGATAGTCCTTTGACTGACATGTTGATCTGCTAACATCACAGAGAGCTTTGACTGAGCTCTTCTTCCCTTCACTTCCCCACTCAATCTTCACCCAGCATGAAAACCCGTTTGATTTAACTAGCAAACTCGAATCAGAGAGATGAAGTAGTACTTCCCCACTTTTTGCATGAGTTGCCTATGACTCTTCCTTCACATGTTACTATGGAGTCGAGCCATGGACATTCTGGTTGACCCACCATCTGTTTGTAAGCAGAATTTGCCAGTCTAACTTTGTTGTTTGAATCAGAAACTATGGCTGGCCAGGCCTCGGACTCAACCTCCTTTTCAACCTCTTCTGGCTTCTTTGGGGCTTGCGTTAGGCTTTTATTCTCTTTGATGCACCCAACACTGATAATGGAGCCCACTGGTTGAAGTCGAACCGGCTGAGGTGCTATAACGCTGCTGGTGGGAGGACTTTGGAGCTGATTCAATAGATCCATCTCTTCTGGAATTTTAGCCACTGTGTTCAAATCTATTACTGTCATTTTGTTGGTGACAAGGGGAACCGAGGGAGAACATGGAAGGAGGGGAAGCGTTATCAAACTTGCTGGCAGTGTAGAAGAACTGTCCATGCTTCCACCAACGGTTCCACAATTAGGAACAGAAAGCTGAGGAATTCCATACGGAAAACCCTGCAAAGAGAGGTTTTTATCGCGGGATGTTACAAAACTTGGCGAATAAAACTCTAGGATATTGGTCCTTGTTCTCTTGAGTGGTGCAGCTGATGATAAAGCGGCTCTACCTCTCTTTCTAGTCCTAGTTGGCTTAGCTTGAAGCTGAGGCCACAAATTCCTCAAATAAGGAGATTGCCTGGTTTTTTGAGACATACCTGAGCTCTCATTCATGGTGTTTGTGTTAGATTTGTCTAGAAATTAAGTTGACAAGTTGGAAATTTCATCTTGGTTGGTGGCCAAACTTTGAACATGTGAATTTCATATTTGGTGGCTAACTTGTACACATTGGAAAATTCTTTGGTAGGTGGCCAAACTTTGAACATATTGTTCTTAAAACTCAACTATAAATAGGCCTAAGTATTTCCATTAGAAATCATAAAAAAAAAAAAGTTCTCTCTTCCTCTTGTATTCTTCATTCTCCCACTTTGGAAATTCTAAAGAATTCCATTTGTTGTAATATTGGCGATATAGTGAAGTTATCATCCGGTGTGGTGCCCTAGGAGTAGACGATATTCTCGTCGAACCTCGTAAATTTGGTGTGTTCTCTCCTTTATTGTTTTTATTCGGTTCTTTTCCATTGTGTTTCAATATTCAATAGTTTGACAGGTTTATCCGCTGTGCAACCTTTGGTGGTTTTAATCTTGACATTTTAGGTCAATTTTAAAACTACGTTCGTGTGGGAAATAACCCGTTTTCCCTAACAATTGGCATCAGAGCTTCGGTTGAGGTTATCCTGGTGGTTCCGTTGCTGAAAAGATACAGTTCGTGATATTGAATATTGTTCGTTAGAATTAAAATGCCAAAATACGGATCAGTTGAGACATCAAGCTCTTCATCTGGACCGGTGAGGAGGGTGATGTCAAATGCAAATTTCTCGGTGGAGTTGTTCGATGGATCCGATCATTTTGGCATGTGGCAATGCAAGGTGTTAGACGCTTTATTCCAACAAAGTCTAGACATCGCCATTGAGGAAGAAAAGCCTGAATATATGGAGGAGAAAGAATGGGGAACAATCAATCGTTTGGCGTGCAACATGATTCGATCTTGTCTTTCCAGGGAGCAGAAGTTTGGCTACAAGAACGAGAATTCTGCAAGTAAGATGTGGAAAGCTTTGGAGGAAAAATTCCTGAAGAAAAGCTCTCAGAATCGTCTCCACATGAAGAAAAGATTGTTCAGATTTGATTATCAACCAGAAACCAGTATGAATGAACACATCATTGCATTCAATGAGCTAGTGGAAGACTTATTGGGCATGGATGAAACCTTCAAAGATGAAGATTTTGCTTTGATGCTGTTGTCATCTCTTCCAGATGAATTTGAGCACCTTGAGACAACGTTACTTCATGGTAAGGATAATGTTACCCTTAAAGATGTAACTACTGCTTTGTATAATTATGAACTCAGGAAGAAAACCAAGAAGGAGAGCAAATACGAACCAGCGGAGGCCATGGTGGCAAGAGGTCGCTCGAAAAGTCAAAAGCCAAAGTGGAGAGGGAGATCAAAGTCGAAGTCCAGACTGGGAAAAGATGAATGTGCCTTTTGTCATGAGAAAGGCCATTGGAAGAAAGATTGTCTGAAGCTGAAGATGAAAGGAAAAGTTGCTCCAGATATATGTGTTGCAGAGCATGATGCACATGACTCTGACATATCATTGGTTGCTTCATCAACAACATTCCATTCCGATGAGTGGATATTAGATTCGGGTTGCACCTATCATATGTCCCATAATCGGGAGTGGTTCTCCGATTTAGTGGAACTAAATGCAGGAGTTGTTTATATGGGCAATGACAATGTCTGTAAAACTGTTGGGATAGGTTCAATTCGATTGAAGAATCAAGATGGATCAACCAGAGTTCTGACGGATGTCCAATACGTGCCCAGTTTGAAGAAAAATCTCATCTCGTTGGGAGCCTTGGAATCCAAAGGCTCAGTAGTCACTATAAGAGATGGAGTTTTAAAAGTCACATATGGCGCACTTGTGATGATGAAGGGCATCAGGAAAAATAATTTGTATTACTACCAAGGTAGTACAATTATTGGAGCAGTTGCAGCAGCTTCCGGAGGTTATGATTTGGACGCAACCCAGTTGTAGCATATGCGGTTGGGACATGCTGGAGAGATATCCTTGTAAATTCTGGCAAAGAAAGGATTGTTGAAAGGTGCAAAGGCTTACAAATTGAACTTTTGCGAGCATTGTGTTCTAGGAAAGTAGAAGAGAGTGAAGTTTGGCACCACTATACATAATACAAAAGGTATTGTAGATTATATTCACTCAGATGTATGGGGTCCTTCAAAGACATCGTCTTTGGGAGGAAACCATTATTTTGTAAATTTTGTAGATGACTTTTCCAGAAGAGTTTGGGTGTATCCGATGAAGTCTAAAGATGAAGTGCTTCAAATTTTCCTGAAATGGAAAAATATGATCGAGAACCAGACTGGTAGAAAGATCAAACGTCTTAGGACGGACAATGGAGGGGAATATAAAAGTGACCCATTCTTTGACGTTTGCCATGTGTAACACCCCAACCCGTACCCAATCCGAATACGAGTATGAGGTGTCACATTGACTTTTCAAACCTTGACACTTAAAGAAAAACCCCGGGGAATTTAAAACTTTGTTTAAAACAAAATTACTTTAATTTACATAAAAGAGACCACAAAATACAAACTCGATCAGAGTGCTCATAATTAACAACTTATTACATGCCAACACTCTATACACAACAAAATACATACTTTATCGATTACTTCTAATATGATATTATAGTAATAATATTGTCCTTGCCACTTCTATTCTTGCTCTTCACGTTTCTTGGTACCTACGTGTAAATCACTTACACGCTAAGTCATAGACTTAGTGAGGCAATAAATAAATATGTAACAGTAGATTCATGAATATGCATTCTTACCATTTGATCATGATATTTCAATATGCATGTATATATTTCATATGACATATATATAATCAAGTCATGCACACATGAAACTTACCTTTTTGCATCACTTTAACTTTAATTTATATTTCAATTGTTGTTGTTGTTGCCCATGTATATTATTGAGAATAGAGGTATGTGAGTACATTGAGGTTGTGCACTAATGCTGTCACCACAGCTCGTATAAATTCCCTCATGGGGCACCGAACATTTGTTCAGTATTCGTCCCGAAGGACTGCTATATATGTCCCGTAGGACTACTACGTCCCGAAGGACTACAATACCCTCGACTCTTGGCATGCCAACTATACCTATAGCTCTCGTATCATATACTATGGACATTTATTATGAATATATTTCTCATCACTTGTTCTTTCTCTTCTGTCACATACCACATGTATGTGTAACCATATATTTCATATCATATCACATATTGCATATTCATATGTCATTTCATATATTCACATAGCTTATTTCATTTCACATTGGTCATATCTCATAGCATATATCACATATGCATATAATCATGTATATCATATCATATATCTTATGTTTCATGCTCTTATGTTTATGCATATCATGTATTCATGTACATATAAGAATCACACATCAAATAACATTTTAGGAGTCACTTCTTACCATAGTAACTCCATCATTGGCTCATCGCAAGCCAATGTTCGTTCAATAATATAAGTACAATTAAAATTGCACTCACCTTAGCCTTGCTTTGATTCGATTATAATCCTTTGATTATTCCGGAACTTGTTTAGGCTCAATATCTATATAAATATATCATTTCAAAACAACTATCAAAAGCCTAAACTTTAAACTTGATGTTAATAACTTAAATCGGTTTAATGAATAAAATTCCATTTTCTTATTTAGGGGGGAATCGATTCTCATTCATAGGGTATCGGTTCCCTCTACCCAGAAATTGTATTTTAACCCCGAAAATCATCAATTCTTCACTTAATTCTTTTATTTTAAACCCCTATCATATCATTAAACTCAACTACCATTACTTAAACCAACTTATATCCATGAAAATCATCTATAACTTCAAAATCTTATCCTTCATATGTAATTCAAGAATCATACTCAAATTTCAATATGTTCTAAATACAATTCTAACACTTCATATTCCTTAATTAGCATGATGACAAGTCAAATTTAACTTCAAATTCAACTTATCAACTCTTTTCAATGATTTGATATAAAAACTCGTTTTCTTAAATCTCTTATAACTTCTTCATCTTTTGATTATAAGACAACTTAAGCTTTCCTTAAGCTTAGTTATCATCTAATGATCAAAACCTAACCTTTAATTTAACAAATAACTAACAAATCAGAAAACCCTTACCTTTGCCTAGCTTCCACGGTTGGGAGAAGAATGAAGGAAGAATAAAGAGTTTTCAGATAACTCTTTCCCCCACCCCAACGTGATTCATTCATAATATTGGGAAAAAATATCTTTCATGCTAAATGACCATTTTGCCCTTTAATTCTTTTAATAATTACTAACAATCTTTCCAGATAAATCATTGAATTATCCAATTATTCTAATTTAATCACCAAATTCTGAAGTTTTACAATTTAGTCACTAACCCGTATTTTGGGGTGTTACACCATGAGTATGGTATTGTTCGACACTTCATTGTTAGACATACACCACAACAGAATGGGGTGGCAGAGTGTATGAATCGAACACTATTGGAGAAAGTTCGATGTATGTTGTCTAATGTTGGGTTAGGCAAGGCATTTTGGGTTGAGGCTGTGACATATGCTGGCCATCTCATCAATCGTCTGCCGTCATCAGCGATAGGAGGAAAAACATCATTGGAGGTATGGTCTGGAAAACCTGCTACTGATTATGATTCCTTACATGTATTTGGATCCACTGCTTATTATCACGTGAAGGAATCCAAGCTTGATCCGAGAGCAAAGAAGACTCTCTTTATAGGAATCACCCATGGAGTGAAGGGATTCCGCCTTAGGTGTTTAGACACCAAGAAGATAATTTGTAGCAGAGATGTTACCTTTGATGAATCTGCCCTAGTAAAGAAGGTAACAAGTGAAGCTATCCAGACAAGTAGTACTTCGCAACAGGTGAAGCATACTCCAAAACAGGTGGAGTTTCAGCAAACGATGATCCCAGAAGTTGATGCAGCTGATTCTTCAACTCCAATAGAAGAATCAAAAGATGAAGAGGTTCAAACCCAAGAACCATTGGAGACACCA